AAAATTTTATCCTACTATACAAGGACAAGGAAGCCACCTTCACCCACACACAAGGAAGGCTCAATACCCGAATAACCTTCAATGCACACAAGGCAAAAGGAAGCACTTATTCACAGATAGCACCAGGATTTACTAGGTACAACAAGTAGACCTCATCTTCCACTCTCATGCTCATCAATCACATACTAAGGTACATCCCAACACTCACACATGCTCTAATCTCATCAACAAGTCAAACCTAACCTTAAACAGAACCCCTAAACTCATCCTCTGATTCTCATCACGTTCTACAACTTCTCCAAAATAGAGTTGCTGATGCGAGACTGTTTTCTCCCAAACTAGACGTCCAATTTACGATTCGAATGGTCCGAATGAAGAACCATATGTCTGGAACCTACTTTCCAAAAATCAGCCCGATCCATCAGTGAACGACTTCGCAACGACGAAAACACCAGTACAGGTTTTGTGATATGCGGAAATACTTTCCTCTTTTCGTTTAGGTTATTCCTCCCAACGTAAATCTCCAATTGACGATCCACAATGATCAAAATGAAAAACCATATTTCTGGAACCCACTGTCCAAAACTCATCCCGATCCAACAATGAACGACTTCGCAACGACGAAAACACCAGTGCAGGTTTTGTGATATGCGGGAATGACTTCTTTTCTTTCTTTTAACTCAATACTTATAATATTTATTTGCATGGAAACCCCCATGAATCATAACTTTATTCTCCCTTAACATCAAACCCTTTGTTGAGATAACCCAACAACCATACATACATTCATAGGAAAAACCCAACACAAATATTACATAAACCCTACGCAATACATACATAAACCCTTGTCCAACAAGAGCAATATACAACTATAATCATAATCATATAAACATATATCAACAAGGATTATTAATCAAATAACCAAGAGCACATATATCATACAATAATTAACAAACAAAGGTAAGTTTCTCAAACCTTGGTCAATCCTAGGGCTTGATCTAACTTCAAAAATACAATGAGTCCTCCCTTGCACTAGGTTTTCTGCAACTCTTCCTCTTCTCTCCTAGAAACGTCTCTTCTCTCCCTTAACTCTCAAATTTTCGTTTTTGGATTTTAGGGTAGCAATATGCAGCCCCCTTTTACTCTTCTCCTTTTTATCTTTTTTTATTCTATCTCTATCTTTTTAATTAAAATAATATCTTTCACTTAATCTATAAAACCACCAAGATTTCCTTTCTTATTTTATTTTATCTAATATTTAAAATATCAACAACCACCAAATATCTCAAAGAATCACATAATCTTTCTATTTCGTTTCAGATTTTATTTTTATTCTTTTTCTTTCTACACCCTCAACTTAATGTCCACACCACTTAATGATGATATAAGACTCTTTTGCCCTTGGGCCCCCAAAATACAATTAAACCCAAAAGTTTACCTTAAATCTCTTTCTTTCTAAAATTTGGCCTACACCTATTAAATCTCAAATCACTCTTCTACCATCAATCCAACACATCATATTGGTAACAACACACCACACAAATCATCATGAAAAAAAATACCAACCATGTGTTCTACTTAATCAATAATAACATTAAATAATAACATAATAATTATAATTGTAGAAAAACATCAAATAATCCAACAACAATTACCAATAATAATGTCCAAGTCTTATAACCACATTATTCCCTAATTACCACATTTTCCTAGGGTCTTACATTCATCGGGGGTGTACTGCTGGAAATGCGGCCCCCTGGGTGGTTCTCTCGGCTTAAATCCTCCTATCTTTCCAACCTGGCCATCTTGTTTTTTATCATCCGCCCTTTCCCCCTTCACGTCTTGACTCTCCTTCTTATACGATAGCTTCATCTCCTCAACCGTTATTTTGTCAATTGCCCTCTCTCTCAACTCTTTTATACTCTTTGGTGCCCGTTGGCACACGCTATCCTTGAAGGGGCCCAGCTTCAGTGTCGACAGTAGATATTGGAGGGCGAGCTCCAAGTTAAGCCCCTTTACCCATCGCACAATCTTCTGATATTGATCCATGAACGTCTTTAAGGGCTCATCCTTCCCTTGCTTGAGATTTACGAGCTCGAAGATGGTTAAGTCTTGAGCTCGGCTACTTGCGAACTAGCGTCCAAACATAACTTTGAGGCCCTCAAAGTTTTCAATGGAATTTGGGGGTAAAGAGTTAAACCACTCTAGCGCCTCTCCCTCTAGCGATAAAGAGAAAGCCCGACACCAAATGGCGTCGTTCCCCGTATGAAACGTCATCCGGTTCGTGAACGTCTTGATGTGGTCGTCCGGATCGGTCGTTCCGTCGTATATCTTAAATTGAGGCGGGACAAACTGTTCGGATATGTGGACGTCCATAATGGCATGGACAAATGGTAAGTTGTCGGAAGTGGTCTCAGCTTTTACCACCAACTGTTTACTAACAGCTCTAAGCTTGGACGGTTTTAGTCCCGCTTTCCCGGATTCTGGTCTTGGTCGATTTCCAAGTCTCGTTTAGCATTGTATTTTTCTCGGTTCTTTCCTCCTGGGCAGCTTTACCCCGTTCCTTTTCGGCCTTCTCTCCTGTCTCGGGGATCTTCTCTTGAGCAATCAGGGCCGATCATTCGGCCCGAACGGCTGTCAACTCCGCTTCGTGACATTTTTACATTTCCTCCATTCTTTATTGTAGCATCCTGATCATCTTTGTTGGGTTGTCAATACTCATGTTTCTCATGATCACCATTGGGTATATTAAGTCACTCGGCCCCATAGTTGGTGCCAAAAATTTTCGGGTATGAGGTCGAGTCACTTCTAATACCTGCACAATTTCTTCGATGAAAACGTCCGATAACCAACATCAAGTCTTCGTCTTCACTCCACCATCCAAAGGTGTACCTGCCAAAGGTTCTGTGATGCTAAAGTCAGCAAGTTGTCCGTTCGGTAGCTCAATGCAATAGTAATAAATACACAGTAAATGCGATCACCTACCACTTACCTTTAACCTATATTTATAATTTTCGGTATGAGCTTGGGATTAGTGAGATCTTAATCACGGTCCAATCTCAGCCCAATACCCACTAGTATAAAAAAGCTTACAATGTCGAATATTTTTTCCTTTCACGTCGAATTCGAGAACAACGTCATATTGGGAGACGTTAAATTGACGTCGAATTTAAAAAATTCGACGTTAATTTAACGTCGAATTTTGTCAATATACGATGTTAATTTAACGTTGAATTTTGTCAATATACGACGTTAATCAATTTTTTTTTAATTAATTATAATCGTTTTTTACAACTCTACGAGACCTAAAAACCCAAACTATGAACGGTAATATAGGATCAACAACAAATAATAAGAACAAACAACAAACAAGTTCAATCAAACAACAACAACAAACAAGTTCAACCAAACAACAACAACAAACAAGTTCAACAAATAAATTCTTCAAAACAAAAATGAAAACTAACATTCAAAAGGTGGGTTCATCGGAATAAAGTGTTGCAACCAGTGAGAGAGAAAGCAGAATGCGTCTATGAATGACAAGAACACAAAAATGATTGGTGAAAATAAATGAAAATCATACCTAAAGTAGTTAATTAACATGCATTTGTATCAAATAAAAGAAAAATTACATGTGATGGTCTTCCAACTTCGCTCGAGAAAAGTTTGAGCAGAGAAGAGGGTCTCACGCGCTAAGATAAAGTAAATGAATTTTCAATCTCCCGCTCAAATGTTTATTGAATTCACTAACCTTTTGACGTCAAATGCTGAGGCATTCGACGTTTTATATCCTTTTACATCGAATTATAATTCTAAACGACGTTTAATAATTGCATTTATTTACAAAATTGTCACCGGTGATTTTTAACGTTGGCTATTGAATGGTTAGACGTTAAACGCGTGACGTTATACGCTGTTTTTATACTAGTGATCCTTAAGTACTAATTACCTTAATCTTCGTAGGAGGTCGGGCGTTCTGCTTATGGTCGTTCGGTCATGCGTACTACCTCATTCTAATTGTCTTAGTACGTTTCCTGTTTGCTGAAGGTGTCCAGTCTTAACTTGACATTTTGTGTATTTGTGTGATCGTCCGTCCATTATATAGTGCACATTATTGGTTCAAGCTGAACGTATTTAATTATAGGGTGATGTCATGGCCGGTCGACCTTTAATCTAAGTTCTCTTTTAATAAAATAATACTTTGATTATTTTTTGAATATTTCAAGTTACAATTTTTTTTTTTAATTTTATCACACTCATTCATAAATATTAGATTAATTTTTTTCTTTTTTATGTTTTTATTCTCTCACTTTTCACTCCTTAGGATAAATAAAGGTTTAGGATAAATGACTATTTTAAAAAATTGTAGGGTTATTTATAGTATCTATCCTATCTCCACATCATTAAATATAATAATATTTTTACGTTTTCTGTCGGAATATTTAATAATACTATCTTAAATTTCAAATAAAAGAAAAAATAAAAGAAAAAAATAAACGAAGAGAGAGAGAACTGCTTTTGAGTATTCAATCTTGACATTTTATATTAGCATTATCTGTTGGTGGACCGTGGTCACCCAGACTCCGTTTTCAACAAAAATAATTATAAAAGGTTGAATTAATTTAAAATAAAAATTTAGAAAATATAACGTAATCAATTACTCATTGGAAAGGAATACCAAAAATTTCAATTGCAAAGACTCCCATTGAGAAGGTTGGCTTAGAAAGTTGCAAGTTGTTCCTACTAAATTATTATATTTTGGTAGAAAAAACGAAAGATGAGATTCTATAGTAATGATTTAATCAAAGTGCTTGGAGAATAGATACACATTTCCAATCCAACTGTAAGTTGATTGGAGCATAATCAAACACGACCTCCACAGTTTTCACTTGAGGGAAAGGATCAATCAAATCAATGAACGACAAATTTGAAACTTTATATATATATATATATATATATATATGTGTGTGTGCACTTGAGTAATGAAAATAAAGAGGTGAAAAATGGGTGAACTAAAACCATATTTGGCAATGTTTGTGGTGCAATTGATATATTCAGGGCTAACCCTGCTGTCTAAGGCTGTGTTTAACAGGGGAATGAATACCTTTGTGTTCATATTTTATAGACAGCTGATTGGTGCACTTGTTTTGGTTCCTCTGGCCTTCATACTTGAGAAGTAAGTGTGTAATTAAGGTTCTGTTTTTCTTTCCTACTGTGTTTATTTACTTAATATATCACTGACATGTATTTTATTTATGATATGTTCCAGAAAAACAGTAGTGTCAGTGTCACTTTCCTTTTCAACCTTCTGCAAGATTTTTGTGTCTTCATTTTTCGGGTATGGTATTATTATTTTTCTATGTGATTTCTCGTAAAATGTTACTAGGAGAGAACCTTAGGTATATGACCTTAATCTGTTGCTTTTCAGAGTAACTTTGACTATAAATATGCAAGCTATTGCCCTTGTTTACACGTCTGCCACTTTGGCTGCTGCAATTGTCAATTCTCTCCCCGCATCTACGTTTTTCTTTGCTGTGCTGCTCAGGTAATATTTCTGATATGTATCAGTCTCTTGTAACGGTTAGGACTGTCACTGGAAACACATCTTAAGAGTAAAAGTGACCGTGATATCTATTATGATTTTCGTAGAAGCTGCAATTTCATTATGAGAGTGTTGCATCTGAATGTTGCAGAATGGAGAAGGTAAATATAAGGACAAAAAGTGGAGTTACAAAGATAGCAAGTGTGTTCGTGTGCCTGGTTGGTGTAGCCACCCTTGCTTTTTACAAGGGACCACAGTTAAGGATTGCTCATTACTACAATGATAAGAGTCCACATCATGAGGATCATTTTTCATCCAGCAAAAGATGGGTATTAGGCTCTGTAGTCTTGTTCATAAGCGTCATCATCTGGAGCATTTGGCTCGTAATTCAGGTAGATCCACTTGTGTTGCACATTTCTGCTATTCCAACTTATGCTAAACAAGTGTTAGTTTATAAGTTCATCTATGCTCACACTGATCCCAAAAAAGAGCAGGCTCAAATTCTTAAAAGCTACCCTGCAAAGCTGAAGTTCACGAGCCTTCAGTGCCTGTCAAGTTCAATCCAATCATTTTGTATTGCTATAGCTTTTGAAAGAGATATTGAGCAGTGGAAGTTGGGTTGGGACATGAAACTGCTTGCAGTTGTTTACTGTGTAAGTATCAAATACCAACCATGTTGTTGAATTATGCTCAGAAGATAAATGAATTTTAAGTTTAACTACAAAATTGGTTTATAAAATAAAATTTGTATTTAATTATATATTACAAATTGGTGTTATTTATGCTTCCAACCTGTATATTAATAAAAGTTTAGATGAGTTAAGTTTGAAACTGTGGTGCATCTTACAGGGGACACTAGTGACTGGACTCATCTACTACTTGCAAGCTTGGGCTATCCAAAAGAGAGGACCAGTTTTTCCTGCGATGTGGAACCCGCTAAGTTTTGTCATTGCTACCACGGGTTCTATATTTCTCTTGGGCGAGCCCCTACTTTTGGGAAGGTCAGAGTTACAATGCTTCGGATACTTATCATTATTTATTATTTATAAATACATATGAAATCTTAGAAAATTAATTATTTTAATAAAAAGATTAATTAAAATATCAACATGCATGTTGAAATTTTATTTTTTAAAATGTTTTCATTTAATTAATTAATATAAAACTATAATGAAGATCATGACTATGGTCTTCTTTTTTTAATATTGTTTAAAATCATTGCAAGTTATTTGTTTGTTAATTAATGCTGCTTGGTGTTTGAAAATAGTTGAATAGGAGAATCTCTTTATAAGTGTGGCTAGCTCTTTCCATATTTATAAAGAGGAAAATCATTTATCTAATATTATAGATGGCTGACTACAAATGAATTTTTGTAGGGGTGATTTGATATATTACTTACATGTTGTTTACCTAATAGACTATTTGTTACTTAAATGATATATTTATTACGTTGTCAAATTCTTGCTTAAAATGGTTTTTCAATTTTAGTTCATAAAGTTATTTTTGTTGTAGTGTATCTAATTAGTTTACTTGATTATTATATTATATTATATTTATTAACATTTAATTAAATAATGTAATCTCAAAATTTATGATCATATTGAAAGTTTTTCAGTTAATTTATTTATATATATTAATATAAAATATTTAACATCATTTTTTATTACGTAAGTTAAAATTTATGTTCAAGTGTTGTTTAAAATGATGTCACTTCTTAACTTTTCCACCACCAATCCGACATGTCACTTCTTAACAAATGGTTTGTGGATTGGATACAGCTAAGAGTGGAAGAGAGATATGAAGTGGAGAAAGAGAGTGAACACTAAGATTTAGACACTGAGATGAGTGGATTTGGGTGAAATATTAAATAATTTAATTGATATGATAAAATAAAATAAAAATTATAAAACAGTTTAATATAAGAAAAAAATTAAAACATAAATAAAAATTAAAATAAATTTAATTAAAATATATTATAAAATCCTAGTAAAGATTGATAGTTAAAATGAATTTAAATAAAATAAGAAGTTATTATAACAGTTAAAAAAATTATATTTTATTTAGTTCCCTTAAAAGCTGAAATTATAATAAAATATTACATATATATCAATTATCATATTACTTAGGATGTTATCAAAATATTTAATTATTATTTTAAATTTTAAATTATTTTAGTTTGTAACTTCATACTTTTATTTAAGATTAATGAAAACTAAATTTTTCATTTATTTGTTAAAACAATTTTGGAATAAAATTTAAATTTTCAAAATTAAATAAAAATCTATATTATTTTACAATAATATTTGTCTAAAATAAATTCATTCACAAAATTTTAATGTCTCAAACAATAATTTAAATATATCATCGTAAGTTCAAAAATATGTCATAACAATTAATATAATCATCAATAATATCATGATAATAATTAATATAATTATCAATAATCTCAGTATCAGAAACTAATTTATATTTCTAGTGTGCAACTTATAAATATTCGTCCACTAATAAAATAATCATTATTTCTGCTTCTTTCAAATCTTTCTCATTACTCTTCTTTAGTTTGACAAAATATATAAAAGTTATTAAAAGAACATTTTTCATATATAAATGTCATTTCTCATCACTTTCTTGAGAATTTTTCTAACTCCATGTACAAATGTTACTTTTCATCACTTGAAAGTTTCATCAACAAAAATACATATGTGTGACTTCGTATTCTTTTCCAAATAATTATACAAAGTTATCATTTCTATTTCTCATTCCTAGTGTTCTCTTATGTTGTGTTCGTATGAATGGATTTCACTATTCAGTTATATTTGCGAGCAAAGATTTAAGTTGATTTGCGTGTTTGTTTTAAAAGATATGCGCAGACTGATTTGAGATGATTTGCGGGATGAATAACTTTTTCGTCACCCGTTAATGTATCGCGATTTGGAGGGATTGTGTTTAAAAAGTCACATTTATCCTTGATTTATTTTATAATACCACGTCCAAACATACTAACGTGCAAATAACATATTCGATTCTAATGTAAAAATAACTAATTCCAAAGTGTTTGAAGATGGAGAAGATGAAGAGGAGTGGTTGAAGACGAAGAAGAACATAGGCGTATTCGATTACATAGCATTATATTCGATTCCTCTGATACAAACAAAAACAAAGGGACCTGTATTCGGTTCCATGTGTTTGTATTCGGTTCCTAGAGTAAAAACATGGTGTATTCGGTTACATTTTTTCTGTATTTGATTCCCTCATAGTTCTAGAGTGGTATGTATTCGGTTATCTGGACTAATTTTGTACTGACCAGAGCGCGACGGCTAGAGGGAGTGGGCCGATGATGTTGTTGTTGTAGAGGTCGAGGACCTCGAGTCTCTGGAGGCGCGAGAGCTTCGGGGGAAAGGTTTGGTTAAAGCCATTGTTGGAGAGGTTGGGGAAGCGGAGGGCAGATAGGGAGGAGAGAGGCGGAGGGATGGGGTCGGAGAACTTATTGT